GGGTGGGACAGCATATCAAATCCGACGATAGTTTGTCGCTTGATGCTGTCCCACCCCACGTAAGGCGGTAAGGCGTTATTGTCAGTATGTATTGATTACGTCACGTCCACGATCGTGCCCAAGCAGCCCTAAGTATTTTGAACAGTATCCGAAATTGAGGAGATTTTAATTCCGTTTGTCGCTAGCTAAACTTGCCCAAACTATGATCAAACCATATTATTTAGAAAGAGAAATCTTTGTGAAAAGATGTAATCGAATTTGTTTTGGCGTACGAGAAGTTTGAACGGAGATATTTGACTTTGAATGCGATGCGTCGGGCCGCCAGTGATTAGCCTTTTACTGTTATATTATATATAATGAGCACACACAATGTAGACCACAGAAAATGTTACATCAACCGCTCTAAATGAGCTCATGGATTAATTAAAAGAATGCAAAGGTATTATACTATCATGTTAACTATATTTTATTGTTAAAATGTATTTATTTCACTAATTTGAGAATGTTTTTAGGATAGTTTTGGTTGAATATAAATTTGTTTATAAAAACCGTTAAAAACCCGCAACACCTGATCATTCATTCTGAGATTGGGACGCCTGTGCTCAGACACTCATGGCATGAATCGATTCCGTATTCCTTAAGCTCCGACCACAGTGCTCACAAGTCGCCGGCTCGCTGCGAGTAATAACTGCATGCTTTATGTAATTTGTACTATTTTTAGTTCTATTTGCTCTTGATGCCCCCAACAATCCCTACCTTGCAGGTACCCTTACCAGAACAATAATTTTATCAGGGGGGGGGGCAAATTTTGCCAGGGGGGGAAATTTTGCCAGGGGAGGCCGGGCCCTCCGGCCCCAGCCCTGGCTACGCCTCTGATGTTGATAATGACTAAAACTATTGTGCACTGCCACTGAACCGAAGATATGAATACACAAAGTCGTCATCCTCTCGCGCAGTTCTACGGCATTCTTCGTGTTGTACTCGTATTATTGACAAAACTGTTTTATTGTACTCGTGTTATTGGCCGCAAAACCATTTATGGACAACAGCGGAACTAACCGTAGATAACCGACTTTAGCTCGCAATTCCTATGCTCGCAATGCATTACATCAATACGTCATCAATACATCATCACCTGTCTGTTCCCGACGTCGACGTACGTCCTGGCAATGCTTCTACTGATTGAAAATCAGTAGATGCAAAAACAATCGCTGTAATAATCAAACAATCTTTATAGTTATATATTTTCCTTTACTTACTTACTAAATACAAGCTCAATGTTTCTCCTTCGCGCCCTAATTACATGTGTTCCTATTTTCCCGCGTATTATAATTTATTCTATAAATTATGTATAACTGTCAATCACTACATTGTTCTCTTCTTTTTTTTTAACAACACTCAACGGAATAACTATGATTTGTTCGTTGATTTCTCGTTGATCTTCTTGCTATCGGGTGACTTTCTTCTATAAAGTCCTGCATATCATCTCCGACCCTGTTGTCCTGTACATCTTCCACGGTAGTTGACTTCTCTTCATCACTACTTTGTTCGTCTACAGGTTTAACTACTTTGAAATGAGTTACATTACGCGTGATGGTGCGTCTGCCATTTCGTGCCGTAGCTGTTGCGCCTTTCCTCTCCACGATCGTAAATCGCTCGGGATTGAATCTTGGTGATAACTTGTTGTTTGGTTTCTGTTTACAAATAACAATGTCCCCTTCCTTGATGTTGGATGTCTTGGTGTTTTTCTTGGCATCGTAGTACTGCTTATTACTGATCTTCTTCTTGTCCATTTTCCTTGGCCTTTTGGTGCTTGTTTACGACATTTTGTGTTGACAGCTCGGGTAGACTTCCTTGCACCTTTCGATTAAATAGTAGTTCACATGGAGGTATCTTTGTAGTGGCATGCGGTGTTGAGCGGTAATTTAATAGAAATCTTTGAAG